GGAAAAACACAAAGAGAACCGGAACGAGCCGCGAGACCACGTGACCTAGTGCATCAGAGGAGTCAGGAGACGACGTCTTCGTCGAGAAAGGGAAGAGTTCATTTGTCCCAGAAATAACAGCAGGCGTAGCGGCCGCGAAGCCTATAGGCGTCGACCAATGGTATCGCAGAACGGATAAGCAATTTCTCCTTGCCGCTAATGCTGCGTGCCTTGTTTCATTCTCAGGAGATATCGCGGAGAGTTGAGAACATGGCAAAGGTGTCGTCGTTCTAAATTGTTGGGCTGTGGGGGACGCCCAGAAAATGGCCAGTGGAACCAAGGTCGTCACTTCTTCAGACCGTCAGGAAGCGTTTTCACTGCAACCAGTGACGCCACATGAGTCGTATCATTGGCACGGTTTTAGCCGAACTTTGGTAGTGAATCATAGCGTCGACGTGTAGCTCGCGTGATAAACACAAAGGCGAAAACACGAGGATTGTACGTACGGTCAGTGATGACTTCAGAAAAGCACGGCAATGCGAGTGCCTATTATTATCGCTCTTCTGGGAATGAGGTTTGAGCATTAGATGTCAAGAACCACCCATAACGAACCACGAAAGCCACTCAGGGATCATTGCTTTTAATAATAATCGAGGCTCTTATCGAAACGCCGTCATTCTTAATCAACACTGCAGTGTAAGAACCGCTACACTGAGCCAGCATTGATAAATTGAAATAAAAAAGGAGGAAACCCGGTCAAGGGCTGTACCTAATCACTCTGCAGAAATCACCCGCAGAGTTACCGAAAGTGAAAGATTCCTTAGGCCTCATCTGACCTTCACGCTATCTGCTTTCCCGTAAGTGGTTTCTCTAACGTAAGTAATCGACAAAGAGGAGCAGATTTTAATTTACAGCTGAATTGCGGCATAATGAGAGTCATCGATATGAAGGCACTGATCCAGCAAAACAAACTAACAAAATAATAATGAGCCACCTTGAGACGTTCAACTGAGTAGCCCGAACTGCCTAATTTGATTGGTATCGCGAAATTCCATTTCCGAGACGCAGGTAGCTGTTTCAGATTGGGTCGCTATATCAAAATAGGCCTAAGCTGGGGCGTTCTTTTGTAAAAGAAAAGTAAAAAAAAAAAAAAAGGAAACTTACAGTTTTTGTTAATTTAATGAGACTTCGTGAAATCGGGAAGTCGTCTTTCGACGCGTGCAAATCTCCGATGCCCTTCCATTTGCGTTTTCGCGGTGCGATAAACGCTCGGGCGCGAGGCAATGCAAAGCGAGGATATGTAGTCCTTTCCACAGGATAACGAATCAACGCGTCCTCCAGTAAGCGAAGCAGTAGAGTAACGCCTGCGATATCAACCTCCAAACAAACAAACACGCACACACACACACACACACAGACACACACACATACACACACACAAACACACACACACACACACACACACACACACACAGTAAAAGTTTTGGCAATCAAGAAATCCCCAGAGGCATCGTCAGCGTCCTTGATGCCGGCAAAGGCGCATCCGCGGCGAGATCGCGCCGCGAATTTAATGGGTGGATAAAATTCGCCGCTCGCGAACACCGTTAGGGCGCCTTATCTGAAAAAAGACCTCGGCACGGTGGCGGAGCAACGATTACAAGGGGAAAGGAAAGATAGAAACGCTACTCCTCTCCATCTCAACATTCTTCCGCCCTTACGAAGAACCGAACCCAAAACAGCGAAACGGGGGGAAATCGCAAACCGAAATCGAAACTCGTCCGCTCCAAACTCGTCTGCTATTCAGATCACGGTGTCGATGACGATAGAGAGGGCCGACTTTTCGCGCCGGCTCTTGCTTTGGTTCTCACGGCCAGATATGTCTGAGGTGGCTGCCAGTCGGGCATTGACGGTTGCCTATGACAATCCTTGGGGAGGCTCGTGATAGCAGATGAGCTGTGGTCGCAAGAAAGATAGAGTAAAAAATACATATACAAACACACACGCACACTCCAACAATATTAAAAAAAACGCACACACACACGCAGCAACGAATGAACCAAAGTCAACCACAGCAAAGACCGCTTTCGTAAATGCACACACTTGAGATGTACGCTGTGGGGTATTTGAGTTTGAGCGATCCGACTCGCGATAACCCAGTTTCAAGTGCGGCAGTCTTTCCTGCTCACCCAGGCTTCAGATAGAAAGGGAAAAGTGTGTGTTTGTGTGTCTGTGTGTGTGGCGGGGGGAAGAAGGGTTAAGATGAGACTTCTACAGGGTTGTGCAATGCCAACCGCCCATGGAGCGGGAATGCTTTGTCCTGGCGGACCTTCAAGATACATAGGGTATCGTGCGTAGATGCTAGCTTGTTTCCCCTCACCCACCGACGACACCCTCTGGGAGGAGGAAGGCCATCATGGCGGCGGTCCTGGTATAAAACCGACCGCCAAGTCTTCAACCAGGCACAGTCAGCTACGTCTGAACGGTTTACAGCGCAACCCACCTTAACCATGCTGGTAAGTAACGCAGGCCCCAGTGGAACATCGGTCACCCAAACGACTCTGGAAGGAGCTGAAGCGATGCCGACCCCATGGATGTTTATAGTTTCACCCTGGACACCAGTGCTATAAGAGCTGTAGCTAGTGTTCCGGCATTTCGCAAAAAAAAAAAGGATTTGTCAGGTGCTAGGAGCTGTCTTAAGGGTTCCGGATAACAGACCCGACGAATGAGAATAGTTTAAGGGAAAGGTGGCCTTGTTACCATACCTATTCAACCCTCCGAATAGAGAAAAGTAACCTTGCCGGAAAGTAACGCAGGCCCTAGTGGAGCATAGTCGTCCAAGCGACTATGAAAATAGCACGAGCCATGAGGATCCCATGGATATTCATAGGTTCGCCTTGATGCCCGTGCGCAGCGCCGAAACTAGTGTGCCGGCACTTCAGAAACGATTTTGTCAGGTGCTATGGTTACCGGCAGCAAAAGAAACGAACGGCGTTGTGAGCCCGTGGATCTCATTAGCGCTCTGCAGCCAATGATATTGGAACACTATGGAACGAGAACACCAAAGAACCAATCACGAAGAGGTGTGAACAAACTAGGCCACGCCCCGCGCTTCTTGAGCTCAGTGACAAGAGGAGCTGTCCTAATGTGTGCGCGCAAACAGCTCACAATGAAAAATAATAACTTAAGTGAATGGTACGTTGTTACGATTTTTTTTTCGGAACTTCCTCTTACGGGAAAAGGACCATGCCGTAAGGTAGCGCAGGCTCCAGAGGGGCACCAGTGATCTAAACGACTCTGGAAGCAGTTGAAGCGGACAGAGCACGGGCGATGAGGATCGTAATGAAGTACATATGTTTACCCTGTAGTGTCTCGGAGTGTTCTGGCACTCCAGAAAAGGCTTCGCCGGATTCCAAGCGCTGTCTTAATAACTATGAGCAAGGACTTACGGCGAAGGATGGTTTAACTGAAAGGCGATTCGCTGCGGTTCTAAACTGCACTGCGTTTAATGGTGAACGAAACCTTAAAATAACGAATAATTTTGAGCGGTTTGAGGAGCGGATCGTAGATACAGCAGAGACGAGGCCCGACTAATGCGGAGTACTTGGGAGTAGTGTATATAAATATAATTTAGCACATAAAAAGGTAGAAGAGGAAGGCGAAAAGAGTGGTACTTGGTCATGGGAGCTTGGGAGGTCAGGAGGAGGTGATTATCAGTCAGGTAAATATAATGAAAACTTCTATCGTGTGAAAGCCTGCTGAATATTATATATGTTTATAGTGGGAAGCATATATATATACTTTGTTTTACTTTACGTTGTACAGAAACGGATGCTGCGAGACCCTGGAGCCAATCCACTGGTAAAAGCATGTCACGTGACCCTTCAATTGGGGGAGCGACTCGCGCAGCATAATGTCATGCGGCACGCGTGAAACAGTAGATTAGTTAACATTACTTGTTACATCCTCTGCGGTACATCGCAAGGTGAAAAGGGGTATAAAAGAAAGAAAACACAACGCGAGCCGATTCCGGAAAGACGTAATGTCCGTGCATTAACAAGACTCGACAGTTCAATTCTTCGATATCGATCATTTCGTTCGTTAGTTGCCAAATGTTGACATCTTATTGCCACAAAACGAAAATAGACCGCTCAATCTACAGCACAGCTCATTGATCTCCTCATCTTCTTGGTTTAGATAGACAGTGACTATACCGATTCGCGCTTTACGTTACGGATCAATACGAACGGGACAAGTTAGAGCTGACATATTCTCATGCCAATAGCGTGTAATTCAAGATAAGAGAATGTCCATTACGCAGAGACGGAGGGAATTTGCTCAGGTCACCTCTAAGCTGACAGCGCAGTTGGAGCTAAGTGCTCACCGGACCAATCAGTCGCCTCCATTTCATCGTCTGGCACCGCTCTTTGCACGTATGCATGAGCGGGATCGTAATTACGTGTCAAAATATAGATGTATGACTGGGCCAACGAGCACGTAGCTTCCCATGCTGCACTCCCCACTGGGAAGTAAACGGACTATAGCTATTCGCGACTCCAGCGAACTATAGGGGGTGCGCTGGTCAGGCAAAATGGCGGACGAAAAGAGGTCGTTTTCATCGTTCAGCACGAGGATTACCATAAATTTCTTGCACTGCAGCATAAAATCGTGTTACTTATGAAAGCAAAGAGATTTTTCGACGGTAGAAACCATTTTCTAGTCAGTGCATAGGAATGACACGACGGAAGCATAAAATAACTACTGGAAAAGATGTTTGCTTTTATGCTGCCTGCATGAACAAAGCAGTGATCGCAGTCGACAGGGTCAAAACGACCTCCTTTCTTGAGCTTCTCGGCATTGCCGCTAGGCGGCGTCGATTTCGCTGGTGTCGCCAATAGACACGACCAGGTAAGCAGACCTTAGAGGACACCTATCTTCTCTTCAACTACTCTCGACGGTTTAATTATTTCTGCAGTTGAAGAACCTGGCGGTAGAAAACATGAAGGCTGGTCGGGTAGTCGGGCAACCCGGCCAGCAAAAAACGTGGGAGCCTCCAGAGCACCCATAATTCATAGAATTGTTCAAACCGCACATCACAGAATAAACAGGCAAAATGCGGCCTGTTTGTGTGACAGAAAAACATTCGAATAAATTACGACGAAGAGCTTCCTGCCGCTATTCCAACTTTCTCACGCTTTGCGGCTCGTCCATTTTGCAGAAGTTCGCCGTCCTCTTCGGCCTTGTGGCCTCCTCTCTCGCCGGAAACATCGGCTACGGCCTGGGCGCCAGCTATGGCCTCACCACCGGCTACGGTCTCGGCAGCTACGGCCTCGGCGGCTACCGCCTCGGCGGCTACGGACTCGGTTATGGCTACGGCGGTCTGGGCTATGGCTACGGTGGTCTCGGACACCTCTACGGAGGCGCCATAGCGGCCGCTCCTGCCGTCGCCGCCGTCCACCACGCGCCAGCTGCTGTCGTTCACCACGCGCCGGCCGCCGTCGTCCATCACGCCCCTGCCGTCGCTGTGGCTCGTCCAGCCGTCACCGTCGCCCGCCAGGTCTCCTACGCCGCTCCAGCGGTGTCCTACGCCGCTCCGGCTGTGTCCTACGCCGCTCCGGCTGTGTCCTACGCCGCTCCGGTTGTCTCCCGCGCAGTGTCCTACGCTGCTCCAGTGGCCGTTGCCCGCCAGGTCTCCTACGCTGCTCCAGTTGCCGTGGCCCGCCAGGTCTACGCCGCCCCAGCTGTGTCTTACGCCGCTCCAGCTGTGTCTTACGCCGCTCCAGTTGTCCAGCGCGCAGTGTCCTACGCTGCTCCAGTGGCCGTTGCCCGCCAGGTCTCCTACGCTGCTCCAGTTGCCGTGGCCCGCCAGGTCGCCTACGCTGCCCCAGCTGTGTCCTACGCCGCTCCGGCTGTGTCTTACGCTGCTCCAGTCTCTGTGGCCCGCACCACCACCGTCCACCACGCTCCAGCTGTGTCCTACGCCGCTCCAGCCGTCGCCGCCGTCCACCACGCACCGGCCGTCGCCTACGCCGCTCCAGCCGTCGCTGCTGTCCACGCCGCTCCAGCTGTCGCCTACGCCGCTCCAGCTGCCGTGACGACCGCTGTCCACCATGCCCCAGCAGTCGCCACCACCGTCCACCACGCTCCCGCCTACGGCACTGTCGGTCTCGGCTACGGACACGGTCTGAGCTATGGCCTCGGATACAGCGGTCTCGGATACGGCGGTCTCGGCTACGGTCTCAGCCACGGCTACAGCCTTGGCCACGGCTACACCCTTGGTGGCTACAACTACGGCCTTGGCGGATACGCCTATGGTCTCCGCAAGAAGTAGGCTGTTCTAATGGTAAGACTTACCTCCTCCGCGTTCTACACTCACCCGACCCGAGGACGCAATCCGGGCACTGATGACGGATAGAATTAAAACTGAGCTACTCTCTTATATGTAGTTTTATAACGAAAGAGTTCTTTTTACCTGGGTCTATGAGAATCCTGACAGAGACACCTTCCCGGGCCGCGGAGAGGCTCGTCCTATCAACCTTTCCCCTTGATGAAATTGTAGCTTTTGGAAGTGGGTAGCAAAGTAGGCCCTCTTATGCCGTAGCTCCAGACTTGGGCAGATTGTGGTCAATGAACTCGAACAAATAACGCGTCGATTTTTCGGGCAAATGATATTAGAACTACAGCAAGTCATGCTCATTGTAAGGAGGAGGAAACGTGGAAGGGGGCGTAAAGCTCGGTCTGATGACATTCAGTCATTCCAGTGTTTTAGAGAGAGCTAATTTTGGCTTACTATTCAATGAGAAATATCTATGACAATCTTAGAGTTCTGAGTGAGCTCGAATAATTGTAAAGCGGTCTTCAGTACTCGTTAGAGCCTTTTAATCTGCCCGCATAAAAACAGGACCGTTCAAAATTCCTCAATTTCGATGGCACGGTAACCTTTTAAGTCCACTGTTTTAAGTTGTCGCGGGACAAACTTTCATTTGGATTGACCCACTGGAACTTGGTTTCGTATCCATCGCAAACATAACTGAGACAGCTTGTAACCCCCCCCCCCCCCCCCCAAAAAAAAAAAGGAAAAAGAACCAAACCGTTTAAGTTTGAATTGTCACTTTTAGTAAAATCCTGCCATGCGTTTTGGTCTTCACAGAGAAATGGCGGAGGAACTGCCGTCTGGAGCGTCCCACAAGGATATTCCGGAACGCCAGTTTCATCGACGAGAGCAGCGTGTCCATGCGGTCTGATGCTGCCGCTGGAAGTTTAGGGGAGGAAAAAGAAAGAGAACTCAATTTACGCTGCCACACGAACCAGTGTACACTCGCATGTACCTGTGTCCGTACCCTTTTCGGAAATACAACTCCCCTTTCCGTTTCGGGGGAAAAAAGAATCCGCAGCCTCGAGTCCTTATTTTTCTCGTGATACCCGTGCATATTGCTCGCATATATTGTACAAAAAACAAGGTGTTTGATGCAGACATGATAACAGGATTATCCACGGAAAATCATCAAGGTTATTGAACAAAAGGTAAGGGCGCAAACGAGCTGGTGGTGGTTAAACATTTCGACAAAAACCCCGAGACTGGGACAAAAAGGGACAGACAAACACAAAGTCTCAATTTTTGAGACTTTGTGTTTGTCCGTCCCTTTTCGTCCCAGTTTCGGGGTTTTTGTCGAAATGTTCATCAAGGTTGTTCGGAGCGTATTTGCTCCATACATCGATGTGCTTCGAACATGTCACATAGGCAGACTTTATTTTGACCAATGTGAGAGGACAGTCAGACAAGAAAGAAACACACCTCCAACAATGCCTGCAGACAGTCTTCTGGATGAATGGATGGATGAATCTTAATGGCTATACCCTTTGTAACTGGGGGTAGCTTGCGCAACCTAGCCTAAGCCTTTATGGTCTGTTATCAGTGTTGTCGCGGCTTTAGAGCAAATACATGGCTTGCACTGACGCCTCACCAACGGGCTTTGTGGTGTCCATGCTGCTGAGCGCAAATCTTCTGTAGCCAACATTTCGCACCACCCGAAAATTGTTTTTCCCTAAAAGAAAAAGTACAAGTACGGATGTTCCAAAATAATCACTATCACAGGATGAGAACGTCAAGTGCGAACCATATGTATATTGTGGCACTTTCTGCAAATCCGAGACAGCTTTTCAAAGATGGTGGCAGGTCTGTTTTTTGTGTTCATTTTTATTATACAGGCAGCCTATCAATGTCGTGAAAGGAACTGCTGGATAGACTCAAGTGCTCTTTTGTTGTCTAGGTCTTTGGCTAACGACGCATATTCGACGGTACATAAGAATACCTGCACGTAGCCTTAAAGGGGCAATGAAACGATTTCTCTACTTTCGCTAAATACTACCTAGAATCACCCTATAACGGTAATAATTGAATCAACTTGCCGTAGTTCTTTTTCGATTCTATGCAAGGCAGTCGGCAAATGAATTTAAGAAACATGACCATCATTTATCCCCTCAACTTGGAGTCAGAACAAACGGCCACGGGACCTGGTGGCTATCCTATGTTGCCAACGTTAATCATAGCCAGGCTCGACAAAGCAGATAACGCGTGCTGAGCTCCAGGCGCCCTTAGAGTTCGGCTGCTCTCATCAGCGCAGTGGTTGGACACGAGCCATCATCCGAGTGTCCGCCGAGACATTGATTCTTACGAGCCAGAGTCGAGCGCTCACGCAGTTCTCGTGTTCAATTCATGAGCAGCACTCGACTATCGTCTGCCGGGTGATTTCGAACCCCAGAATCACGTCGTCAAGCTTTGCGAAGGCAAGACTGAAAGGACTAGTCCATTTTTATCCTCGCAATTTCACCATGACGAAGAAGCTTCCGAATTAGTGGCAGCCCGTGCGAGTATACGTGAGCCAGACTAGGACCAGTACGCCCCTGTAAAGTCGTGAACATTCCAACCCAATATCTTTTCATGACCCCTTTAAGCCGGGGTCACATTGTTCATATATCATACAAAGGCAGCCTGAGAACACGAGTTCCCGCAATATCCCTGGTTCGAATGCCGCGTGCCAAGTTTCCCATTACACTGATTGCCATGCGGCATTCAAAGCACAGACCTCGCGGGGGCTCGGGTCCGAATCTGGATCCACAACGTTGCGATGGACGGCGCCCATAATGAAGGTGTTCATTTGGGGGTATTCACTGGACGCCATATTGATAGGCTGCTGAACTCGGCAGTGTTGATGGTGTTGAATGCACCTCACAAAAGAACCGTGGAAGCTCGCCATGCTCCGCAATCGCGCACACAAAGCGGTCGGCGCATGCGTGAAGCCGCCATAAGTTTAGTTCACACAGGAGGCAGGCAGCGGCGCAAGAGACGTCTCGAGCTCTACACGCACATAGTTCCAGCGATGCTGTGGAAAGTGCAGGAAGACTAAGGATCGATGTATTATGATAAAGCCGCTGGGTCCTGGGAATTATAGTAACGCCCTTTCCTTATTTGTCTGCTAGCCGGACACAACCAAACATCCTTTGAAATTACTGGTGAAATATTGAAAAAAATAATCGCAAGCAGTATGTTAACATTGTCACGAATGACAAAAGAAGAGGCGGCGAATAACTGGGAAAACTAAATGTTTCGATGGGGCGAACTTGTGCCCAAAACAATATAGGAGGAGGTTAGCGTCGCAGCTGTCGATGTCGGGGAAACGGGAGGATGGATCGCTGGGGTGAGACTGACACCGGCTCGCCATGCGTGGTCCCTTATGTACCCGCTTGGCTTTCTGGAACATTCGGCGTTGAACGTTCGGTGGTTCGCCATCGATCGAGACACATTCGTATCTCGATCAGCCGTCAAGCTTCTCGATGTTACGAGAACGCTAAATTGAAAGACTAAATAAAAGACGCGTCGCTCCTAGGGATCGAACCCGGGACCTCCGTGCGAAAGCCAACCACGGTAACCAATCGGCCACGCACGTTTAAAAAAAGATTATTGCGAAGGTGAGTAGTACAAGTGACATAACATTAAAAATGCACTGCGAGGTTTTTACAGGACATATTAAAAAGCGCGAATTTTACGAAGCACTTTACAGATGCAGAGACACTCGGGCTTGGACTCGCGGGTGAAAGAAAGAAACAGTTTCCACTTGCTCAATTAGGCAGAAAAAATAAAAACGCGCTTCTTACGCACTGACGTCGGTATGCCTGGCTGCCATGCGCGATCGCCATATGCTGCCAAGTCCCAACAGAAAAAAAAAAAAAGCATATCGTATGGGACACAGTTATCGTTGGTCTCGTTCAAGAAACAGATGCCAGAAGGGGAAATCCTCAATTGCTTTTTCAACGAGTGCTGGAGCACGTCCCCGAAGAAATAAAATAAACAACAACCAAGGAGCAAAACAAAATAAAAATCCTCGCGTTTTAGCCAAAAATGAATACATGTTCGATGGTCTCTTTATGTTCGCATAAAGGACAATCAGTCGACCATGGCATATCTACGCCTCTTTCTTTAAGCCACTCTTTCATGCGCAAAATATTAGGACGTAGTTTGAAAAAGAATGTCTTAACAGAGGGTGGAATACATATACATTTGACGCGCTTAAGCACATCTTCACCACCTTCACAAAAGACACTTTGATACAGCGGCGTTGGGAAAATACTTATCAACAAATCGCGAGCAAACTTCTTCCTACTTACCTCAGACAGGTATTCAAAAGGAAAACGGGCAGACAAAAACAGACAAGAGAGCGTTTCCACAACCTTCTTTTGAAAGCCAAAAATTGTTGCGGGTTCACCGCCATAAGACGATATAAGAAAAGACGGCAAATCGGGCGAAAGTTTTGATTGAATGAACGCGTGTATAAAAACAAGGGTGCTCTTCATCACGTAGAAGCATGAAACGTGACACCAGGGGGGCTATGTTTGACAAATGTTTCTTTTCTCCTAAAAATAAACGAAAATGACGAAGTGACGATATCAGATTGGCTAGAAGATCAAGTGACGAAAGAGGGAACTTTCGTCATTTGAGCCTCTAACCAATCAAACGCCGAAATCGTCACTTCCGTTTCTTTTTAGGAAAAAGAAATCATCGGTCGAACATAGCCCCCCAGCTGCCTCAAAACAAATGTGATACCCCCATCCTCCGTCGCATATTCGGTGAAACAGATTATCTCGCCTCAACGGCTCGACACTCGACCTCCAGTTGAAAGTGGCAAAACCTCGGTGAAATTTCTGTGCATTCATGCGGGCACAGTGTATCGCTTGCAATAATACCAGAGCTTCGATACAAGAAAAACATTACAAACCTTCAATCTGGCAAAAATAGACCGGTCACGCCTTTTCCAGCGGGAAGCTCGCCTGTCCAGGTCGGTTGCGACACCCGACCAATAGGTTTTGTTTACTTGATAACAGTGGAGTGGCACGCCTAGGTACGTGCAAGGCACACAGCCCCACCACACGTCCTCAAATACTGAATGCGTTGTTGAACACACGCCGTGCCAAAGCCTACGGCACTTGCTCCAATTTATAGCAGCACCAGTAGCTCCACGAAAAGTTTTCGCTAAAGAAATCACGGCACTGACGCTTCGCTTGTCTGTGCAAAAACTGCAATGCCATCCGCGTAACAAATAACTTTAACCTCTTCATTTTCCAAACGTAAGCCCCGACATTTCTTGCTATTCGGGATGCTTAAACAAAAAAACCTCTAAATATAATACAATATAATAATAATAATAATATTTTTTATTCAGACAAATGTCTAGGAGGATGGTGCAAAAGGCGATTTAAATCACCTGACAAGGCTCCACCCCCCTGTACAGTCAGCAGCAGAACGTACAGAAACATAGGGAAAAAACAACAATCAAACACTCATAGTGGCATTACACTGAGATACAGTGATATAACAAAAGAAATGCGATCGAAAACTTAAATAAATCATGGTATGCCTGAAAGCTACGTTTTCAGTGTTAGTTTAAATATGTATATTGTGTTGGAATTATTGATCATTGACAATATTTCAGGGTGTTTGTTTAATAGCTGTGAGATCTTTGTTTACCGTAGTTTGTGCGTACTCTGGATTGAGTGTAGGGGGTATGGCGAAATGAGTATATATTGATGAATTGTTGATGTAATTTTCATGTACAAACTGAGGGTGTGCTTTTATTTTGTAAAACAAGTAAATTGCCAGTTTTTGAACGAGCGATTGTTCTACCATAGGAAGAGAATATGTACTTAATAAAATATGGGCCAGAGTGCTCCTTATATGAGATATTGGCAATTGACCGTACTGCTCTTTTCTGTAGAATGAGCAGCTTGGATATGCAGGTCTGTGAGCACGTACCCCATACCACACTGCAGCAATTTAAACGAGAGTGAACAAGACTAAACTATAACTGTCGTTTTAACCAAGCCGGAATG